TTCTGTGAGTAAGAATCATCCTTTCCAAAAAGTGAATCGATATACTCATCCCATGTTTTTCCATCCTTAAAAAGTTATTAATGTTCTGTTTACTTTTTAAGTGAATTATTAATCTTTATACCTAGTTATTATACGTACGTATAAATACAAGTGTTCGTTTTTTTTGTCTTGAGAGTATACTAGAATTGTACAGTTTTCCATGTGAAATCATTGCGATTGAACAATTCACAAAGGAAATAAAAAAGCTAGGAATACATACCCGGAAGATAGCCATTTTGTCTGACAGTCAGGCAGCACTAAAGTCCCTAGTCTCATGCGTGGCGAAAGCAAAGAGTGTTTGGAACTGCATGGAGGCCCTGGAGTCAGCGACACTAATGACCCGAACTTGGCATGGGTCCCTGGGCATTCGTGGCATGGAGGCAACGAAAAGGTTGACATATTGGCCAAAGATGGAGCCAACATAGACTCTCTAGGTCCTGAACGCTACTGTGGCCTAGCATCTTGCCTCGAAAGAGGATTCATCTTAAAATGGAGTCCAAAACTGGTGAAACAATACCACAGGTATGAGACCCGCGAAGAGATTCATAGCAGGACCATCCGCAAAAATTACAAAGGAATTACTGGAACGCAACCGCAACCAAACCAGGATTCTGGTTGGACGTCTAACAGGGCCCTGCCACTTCAGAAAGCACATTCACCGGATAGGAGTACACACAGAAGAAAAACTGTGCAGATACTACCAGAAAGAGGAGCACTTTTTATTTTTCTATGAAGGTATGTAGGTGCAGGTTCTTGCAATTAGGACAGGAAAAACTACAAGCAATATCGTACACTAAGGAGCAGCTCGCAAGGCTAGGAGGTTAATTAATAACCTGAAGCTGGCCAGTGAGATCTACAGAAGGCCTTGTGGCAACCTCTTTTATCCCTGTCCCTGTCCCCATACTAGAAGTTCAATAAAGAAGAGAGTAAACAAGCTCAATTAATTCTATGTATCTATGTCATAACCCCAGTATGTAGATCTTTGATATCAAAAAGAACAATTTATAGAGACATAACTTTTTCAATAAACTTAGAACTCTCGAAGATTTTGACTTATTGCAATGAGTATATGTAAAATCATTACTTATCAATTGCAAGTATTATTGACTGGTATAGGTTGTAACAAGATGTGCCTTTGCGACCCTGAATGTCTGAAACGTGAAAAAGAAAGTATTTTCTCGAAGTGGAAAAATAATCTCTACTCAATAGACATAGAAAAGGTGCTATACTCAAAATTTAACCCTTTTTATAGAAAAATCAGCTTCTTGTATAAATATGAAAATTATTTACAACTACATTTTTCTATAAGTAAGCAAAGACTACTTATACAACTAAGGCCGTCTAGTGCTAAGGAAATCAAATTGTTTGTAAATGGGCAGAAATATGTAATTGACACACAATCAACGTGCTCTGTGTGTAAATTGTTTGAAGAAGAGAACAAGGAACATATATTTTTAAATTGTCCAATTTACCAACCTCAAAGATTCTTTTATTTAAAGAAATATAAAGATACTTGTGTAAATAATAACAATTTAGACAAATTTGAGTTCTAGCTAAAATTTGAAGCAAAAACCAGGCAATTAATGTGTTCAATTTTATTTTTGAAGCACTTAAATTGAAGGCTTTTACTGTCAATGAATGATGTTTTATTGTTGCGTCATGTAATTATTGATTTTAAGTTCACTAATTTCGTGGTCCGCTTGACTAATTAATACATTACAATTAATTAAGGTTTTTAGTTGAGATGAAAAAAAGTTAATGGCACGAGATGGATTCGAACCCACGATCTTCGGCTTGATACGCCGCTGCTCTACCACTTGAGCAAGAGCCTCGATCCACTCGGACATCAACTTCCTATCTCAACCCCATTGATTTTAAGTTAAGCGATATGTATTTGATGATGTATTTTGATTAGTTCTTACATGCTATTATAATTATAATAATAATTATTATTAATGACTTTTGTAAATAGTGTCATGTCAAATTTAAGTTGGAAGATATCTTTAACGATGTATATAACCTTATTTTGCCATTTGGCTCCCCCCCCCCCTGTAATAGCTATTGCTGAAATACAGTATTAATCTATCTATCTATCTATAACATTAATTGACCCAAAATAGGTCAAAACAAAAATTCTATATTAATTATAGTTAATAATATATTTGTACATAGAAAATACATCGACACAGCCAAATAATTTTTTTGGAAAAGTTGCGATTTATAATTTTAAGATTTTAAAGTAAGTGTGTAATTTTGGTATATACAGAATCGTTGCAGGATTATATAAAACCACTTTTTTCGGACATTAATTCTGTAAAAAATAGTAGTGTTTGATTAAATGTTGGAGCAATTTATTATAACCCAAGTATTGAAAGTTTAATAATTTTTTTATTATACCCTTGAAAACATTAAAAATGTATTTTATTAAGGAAATAATTAATTCAAATGGACTAAACATTTCTTCGAAAGTGTTTACAAACAAAGGTTATTAATGAGACGATGAGTGCGTAAACAACAGTAATAAATTGTAAACCGGAGTCAGTGATTGTCAGAGATTGCCAGCAAAGATAACAGACCTGTGATAAATTACAGTGATTAAGCGTTACGATGGTTTTTCAATTTATTGAATTCCGTTACGATTTTAGTTTGTTTATATTAAACGATAACGTCACCCGGGGTTGAAGAAAGTAATTACAATTTTATCGGAGACCGTGGATAATCACTAAATGATTTATACGCCCCATCTCTTGAAATAATCCGCTGTTATTGAAGAATTTAAGGCCTTATCAGACTTGTATACGTGCCATTGCCAAATAAATTAAACTTAAAAACGACAGTACGGATTGGTAAATGTGAATTTTACAATTTGCCAATTATTCAGAAATCGTGAGATGCGGTCTGGTGTGATGTAGGTTTGAGAAAAACATTTTCTTTATCGTGCCAACGTTTCGATCTTTATTGAGATCATCTTCAGGGCTCAATGTGTTTGTCTTCTTTGTAATTGTGCCATTCTTGAGTGTCGTGTTGAGAGTGCCCGCAGCTAAAAGTATTCTTAAGGACATCGCCAACAATGAGAAGAAACTCGCATGGGCTATCAACCAGAGAACTTTTTTGCTGAAATGCAGACAACACAAGGTATTTCCTACTCACATCAAAAACAATTTTAACTTTACAAATGCCACACTAACACAGCCAAACACCAGAATTAACGACATACATAAAGCCACAATAAATTTCAAACGAAACATTTTAAACATAGAAATCACCACGAGCATCAAAAACATAAAGACATTAACACAAAAATTACATCAATTAAAACTCAGTGCCAACATAATACCTACAGACATTTTAAAAGAATTTTACACACATCAAAAAGATGCATACAACGCCCACTTTGAACAAAATAAAAACAAACATCAAAAATTAAATAACTTAATCAACAAACAAACACCTGCTAACACAAACAAATGGTTCCTAAACCTAACCAAAACTAACATTCCTCCATAAATCCAGAACTTCCTGTCACTTGGTCCCAAACATTCCATTCCTTACAACAAAACAGATTAAAGGGCACTCTCAATACAACACTCAAGAATGGCAAAATTACACAGAAGACAAACACTTTCAGCCCTGAAGATGATCTCAATAAAGATCGAAACGTTGGCACGATAAGAAAAATGTTTTTTTGAAACCTACATCACACCAGACCGCATCTCACGATTTCTGAATAATTATCGATTAACAGTCACTAATCACTACACAATTTACCTATGTTTAATTTCATTTTTATTTTTGTTATATATATATTGAAATTTTTGATATCGAAAAATCATGTGTAATTAATTGACCTCACCGATTTATTTTCCACAAGAAGCGCAGAAATATTTGGATAAATAATAACTTTTACAATCAATTAACTCTTATGTACATCTAGTTTGGTCTATCTGATCATATTGATCAGACAGACGTGTTTCGGCTTCTCGTCATTTTCAGTACTGGTTCTGTGTGATTCCGGGTTAGTCGAATCCATTGTATAAGTTCTTGACATGTGGATGGATTATGTTGTCTTCAGAATTGTGTTTATACCTTCGGTGTGGTTCTATTTCATTTTGTTTTTATGCTGTCATTTTATTTGTTTGTGCCTTTTGTTTATTATTTTGCTGGTTGCGTTGTCGTATTCGTTGTTGTGTTAAATCTGTTCATGTTTTTTTTCTTGGTTAGTAGTACAGTTTGTAGTCTGTCCTGGTTCCTTAGTTCATTCTAGTGTTCTTAAAATGAATGAAAATTATATATAGTTAAACAAAACCCTACCTGATTTAGTTCAAGGATTATCAAAAATAATACATTCCAAAGAGATTTCGAATCATATAATTAACTGCTAAAATATTAAACTAATTATTTTTAATTGACATTTTATTACATTATCAAACATTTGTACGTTGTAGCTTGTTGAAGAAACTTTTCAGCATCTGCAACTCACATTACCAGGCAATGTAATATAAATAATAAATGTAAGTTACATCCGGTGTACAAGGATATGATAATAAATTCATTTTTATGAAATCATAATTTATTAGGAGAGACTGGATTGGATTGCAACATATTTTTTGCCTTCACAAAGCTGTAAATGTTCGGGCTTCGGTGTCGGATTCTTCACAATTCAATTTTACATAAAATTTGAACATCCATCAGAACTAACGCTGTTCAACGAGTATCATAAGGTTCATTCAATTTTGGTAATTGGGAAGTTACTAAATAAAATACATTTCAGAGGAGTCCCACTTTTCTGGAAGGATCCCCGGCATAATATTCCACTTCAAAAGATACATTATTCATCAAAATAAATTGAGTCTTTGGGACGCTACGATATAATACAAAGTAGAACAATGTAAAAACCAATTTATGTTTTAATTAATCAGTATTGAAAATGTCCCGAGATAAAAGGCAAAAATTATACTGACCTGATTTTAATTGGTCCGTCTGATTTGCAGAAGGATTCCCAATTAGATCGAATTGTGACAGCTTCATGTCTTTTGCGATGTCGACTTCAGTGCCCATTTTCCATTTGTAGACCACATCTTTGATCGTATAGCCGACTGGAAAGACAAACAGAACAAAAACTTTTTTAGTTGACGAAATTCATATTTGCTGGAATCAGTTGGGACTTGTGCTTATTCTATTTTTGTGTGCATGCGGTTGAGCGCTTTCATCCGCCGGCCAAAAGTCAAAATCGACCGCAGGAAGTTGTCAATCCCTCAATAGTTCTTATTTGACCCGGTTTGTCCTGGTTGCTCTTGCCAGGGAGGAGAAATGATTTCGGAAAGACTGGATGGATATTCAGCCCATTATCTTCGGGTTGAATTTACCATTTAGGCCTTTTCGTAATTCCTGCCTTGTTAATATTTTAAACCTGCCACTTTCCCACGCCTAAATCTAAATCACAGAAGATAATACTAACGATAAATCATTTGATTACATAATTGTCGATACTTACCAAAACGCTATTGATCAATTAACAGTAATTAACAGACTTCTTCTTAATGAAGCCCATCCCCCACACAAAACAATACTGTACAAATTTTTACAGGTTTTTCAAATTAAATTCACCCTTTTTCGAATTAAATATTTCTATATATAAATATTATAGTTAAAAAGACAAAATAATTTTACCTAATTAAGGTTTTGGTTGAGATAAAAAAGTCAGTGACACAAGCGGGATTCGAACCTGCTGCTCTACAACTTGAGCTATCGTGACTTCACTTTCATACTTTTTATCTCAACCAAAACCTTAATTAATTGAAAAGCATTTATTTCAAGCGGACTACGAAACCTAATAAATAGTATATTTTAACTTTTAAAATATATTCGATTCGTTAGTTAGAATTCTATAAGGAATGATCGGGTAGACATAGTAGTAATGGAAATGTATACACGTTTTTCCGAACTGATTTTCAAATGATCTTTCCTTTTTTTTTTATAAAAGAAAAGAATGTAAAAGATAAACTAGTCATAAAGATAGACATTATTACAAATAAACATACATTTATCGTTATATTAAATACAACAAACTTATTTTAATTTAAATCAAATTCAACTACATCAGAAAATGAGTTTAAAAGAAAAATGATTTAATTATGATGGATTAAAAGAAAATTTAGCAAAACACCGGAAAATCATTTTGTGGTGGAATAATTTAAATAAATATTAATAAATAATTAATCTTTTTATGTAAGGTTCTTGTGCTATCGTGACAATAAGTGGTAGAGCAGCGGCGTATTTAGCCGAAGGCCGTGGGTTCAAATCCCGCTCGTGGCAATAACTTTTTCATTTCAACCGAAAACCTTACATAAAAAGATTAATTAATTGAAAGAAGTAATTTGGCCAATACATCACTAAATATAATGGAATTTATAAATAAATTTATTACCTGATTTTGGTCTTAATTCGTCAATAACGCATTATGACATTTTAATAAATTGTTAATTAAATTTCCATCTTCGCAAAAATGTTGAATTTTTTTTGCAAAACATTGTATATTTGTTTTGCAGAAGAGTGAATTTGATTTGAAAAAGGGTGAATTTAATTTGCAAAAGTGTGAATTTGATTTCCAAAAAGTGAGAATTTGATTTGCAAAAAAGGGGATTATGATTTTCAAAATTGGTAAATTTAATTTGCAAAAGGGTAAATGTAATTTGAAAAGGGTTGAATTTAATTTGCAAAAATGGTAAATTGATTGACAATAGATTTCTTACTAATTAATTAACATTAATTGATGTTTTTGATCACGGGCAATTCTCACAAGGATAAGTATTCCAGTCTGCCCACCCGGACGCGACCTCTAGGGATCCGCTTTGCCGAATCCCTGGAGAGGGAGGGGATGGTACTGGGGCCGGTTCTTCCTCTGGGACACCAGGCGGTGCCGCCCTGGACCCTCCCCGCTACCAAGGAAATCCGCTCTCAGTATCCCGGATGTAAGACCGTCTTCACGGACGGCTCTAAGACCGGGGCGGGTGTGGCATGCGGGGTGTACACGCGGGAGGAGAGCTCCTCCCACCCACTCCCTAGAGAGTGCAGTGTGTACACCGCCGAGTTATACGCGATTTGGCACGCAATGCTGGGGGTGTCGGGCATGGGGGACGAAACTGTTCTCATCTGCACTGACTCCCTCAGCGCGGTGAGAGCCCTGAGAGACCTCTATTCACGGGATCCACTGGTCGGCAAAATCCAATTGAAATATGCGGACGTTGTGCGCGCCGGGAAAAGGGTGGTTTTAGCCTGGATTCCAGGACACGTCGGACTGGAGGGGAACGAGAGAGCGGACCTGGTCGCGAAAGCGGGTACTCTCGTTCCTCACAGTGATGATGTTGAGACCACCCCGATTCGGCCTGACGACGTTAAGAGAATAGTGAAAAATATGATGTTAGACAAGTGGAAGCGTCGTTGGGCCGACTCGACTGACGCGTTGGTGTCCGTTAAGCCGACGGTCGACCGGTGGAGCCCGGAGGGGATATCTCGAAGGGAAAGCGTTGTCCTGACCCGCCTGCGGATAGGCCACACACGTGCGACTCATGGGTACCTGTTGGTTGGCGCGAGTCGACCTAGGTGCCCAGCATGTCAAGTAGACAGACTCACGGTGTCGCATGTGTTGGAGGGGTGTCGCAGCTTGGCCCTGTATAGGGACCGAAATGGAATACCGCCGGGTTATAGAAGAATGCTCGAGCATGGCAGCGAATTCAAGGACAAACTTTTTAGGTTTCTAACAGATATTGGGATTATGGGTTGTATATAGAGGGGTATTTATTTTATAGGTTTAAGTTTAGCTTTAGTTTCTGGTAGAATAAAAGTATGTTGGGCGGCGGTGCAGCATATTATTTCAAGGCTCCACCGCTACTCCGGTAAACCGGTTCGGGGCGGAATATCGAGTACCCTCCGCCTCCGACCCGGATTCCAGACAGAGGATATGCATGTGTGATTGGGTTTGTATATATAGTAGTACGTATGTATTTATTGTATGAGTGAGTGTGAGAATGACTAGTTTTAGGGAACGTATGGGCGCCGAAATGACCAAAGAAGTCGATGGAGCCCGACCAGAGCCCAACCTCGGAGTCGCTTATGCAACAAGGCGGGTGACTCCCCCTGATCTATCAGGGAGAGGCCAGAGGCCTCCTAGGAGGTCTCGCAATTCTAATTCTAATTCTAATTGATGTTTTTAAATATAACTTACTAAAATCCTGTTTTTGTATAAAAAGTGAATTTAATTTGAAAAATCTGTATTACTGGTTATAATATTATGATTATAATATATTAATCATCATAATAAGTTTATTGTCATCAAAATAAGTTTATTTATGCTATAAAGAAATATACACGGACTTTGGTAAAGTTTGGCTAATTTTTCAAATAATTCAAATAGTACTTCAAGTTCTGCCAGTTTAAAAATACAAATATATAGTTTGGTTTTCTTATTTTTTCCGAGCTGTTTTTTTCATTTACTTGTTTAAGGATGGGTTGGAACTAATCACACCCATGCGCTTTTTACTTGTTTTGTTTGAGATGTCGATATAGGGGGTATCCGCCTCTCCTCAGCAGTCTTAAATTTCTAAAATGTATAGGTTTACATACGATTTTACAAGACAGTCTTTTTACAGTTAAATGTCTAAAAAAATATAATTAAATTTTGTTACGAATTGCTTGGATACATCTCCAATCCGTAATACTTCCCCCCCCCAAAAAAAAAGCCTGTATTGAAAAACTTAAAAATAGTAAAGTTGAGTACAAATTAAGATGATCACGTCAAAAAATATACATTAAGAAAACTATACAATTCCTATACAAAAGAATTAACAAGATAAAAATAATTTAAAAAACAAAAATGATAATATTGTTTTAATCTCACATGTAAATGATACAGGACAAAATAAATTTTGAGTTGGTACTACACTGTACCAGGTTTTCACAGCTGACATGCCATCACATCCCGAAACCAACACATTCACATTTGCAGACGATACGGCAATTCTCTCTAGCAACTCCGACCTTGTCATTTCTACTCAAAACCTCCAACAACACCTCATACTACTAGAGTCTTGGTGTAAAAAGAAAAGGATAAAATTTAACACAGACAAATCCACCCACATTACTTTCACTCTTCGTAAAAAGATCTCCCCCCCGTTTTCTTAAACAATATTCCCCTCCCAACTGCGGACAAGGTGCGGTACCTCGGATTGTACATCGACAAACGCCTGACGTGGAATCCTCACACAAGACTGAAACGTCAGGAGGTTATGACACGATTTAGAGTTCTTGCACGACTTCTTGACAAACGCTCTAATTTACCTCTCAAAAATAAAAGGCTGCTTTACAACACCATAGTTAAGCCGATTTGGACTTACGGACTGGAAGTGTGGGGTTCAGCCAAACATTCCAATATCCACCGCATTCAAACTGCCCAGTCTATAATACTACGAAAAATACTAGATGCTCCATTTTATGTATCGAACCAAACTACACATACAGATTTACATATTCCTTTCGTACAAGATGAAATACGTTTCCGTTACCGTAAATTTCATAAAAACCTCCCAACTAACGTAAACCAACACATCAGAAACCTCGCATCCCGACGAATCCCCTCAAACCCTCCCCGCCGACTGAAGAGACAATGGCCGCGAGATCTCCTAGGAAGTGATGGTGATGACAGTGAAAGTGATAATGACACACGTATCAATTGAACAAACAATATTATTGTAACATTGGAGTAATACCAATGGGTGTTTTCTCCACTCTTGATTTTTAATTTTGTCTTGTTTTAATTACCTTGCTCACTGTTACTTATTACCTACTTAAGGTAGTTGTAATGTACTACAAATTATTAAAAAAAAAAAGTTGGTAAAAATGTAAAAATATCAGGCAGATAAAATAATCAGAAAAAATTAATAGGGTCGGACATGGGACATAAACATACATCAAGATAAATATAAACCATGTAAACAATACGAAAATATTTTAACAATGTATAAAAATTATGTAAATGTAATAAATAAAATGTAAAAAAAACATATAACTAGTGCTAGAAAAATAATGACTATATAAGACGAAAAATGGTAAATTATAAAAGTAAAATTAAGTATGAAATACAAAAAAAAATTATAAAAAACATATCAATGCTGCCAATAACGCCACTCATTGAATATATGTAGCCTAGAGGGCCCCCACCCTACCTCTTTATATGCTTTCGGATCAAAAATGAGATGGGTGTCCAAGCAATTCTTAGCATAACTCAATTATATTTTTCAGTACATTTAAGTGTAAAAAGGCATGTTTTGTCAAATAGTATGTAAACCTGTACGTTTTAAAAATTCAAGACCGATGAGAGGGATGCCCCCTAAATCGATCTCTTAAAACAATAAAAAGGGCATGGGTGTGATTAGTTCCAACCCATTCTTAAAGAAATAAACAAAAATCTAGATTTTTATGATTTCAAATTTTCTTGGACGTTATTAATATGCAAATTTTTATATGTTGTAATTGTGACAATTGCATTTTCCCCCATTTTAATGATAATTTTCTGTATATCTACTTAAAAGTTATTAAAGTTAAAATATGTAATAAATGTCAATATGGCATGTAGAATAAATAAATATTTTAGTGTATTTATTTTTGAAAAAAAGTAGAATACAACATATATTTTATACTGTTTGATTAAAAATCTCATATGTGCACAATTCTTTTTTATAGGTCCAAAACAGCCATCACCTTGAAATGAGAGCGTGGACAAAATGTATGAAATTGTGCTTTATGGGGGTTCCTAGAATTATAAATTTACTCGCACCATAAATCTTATATTTAAAATTTAAATTAATAAGTTTATGGGAACAATTGGAAGGGAATATGGCCAAATAAGTGAAAAACAGTTAGAGTTGAAAAAAGGCGTAAATCCTTGGTGCCAGCTTGAATAATTAAAACGGCATCAGATTTTGTTTTGACATCCTTCGACCCGGTTCCTGCCAAAACGCCACGTTCTAAACATAGAAACTTGGAGGTGCTCTTGAAATGCTGTTAACTTAGCTGCCAACCCGGTCCCAATTTTACGAGGATTATTTTCTGTATTTTTGACTGTGCCAATAAATAAAAAAGTGCTGTTTTAAGATTTGACTTTAACAAAGATTTACAACGGGTACTATTTGATCAAAGAAGCTATTTCTTTGCCAAAGTAAGGCTGCTGAACTGAACCAATTCCATTTCAGATTTAGACTTTTAAACTGTTTGATGATTGGTTTTATTTTGTGTAGTTTGTGAGAGGTGATTACTGAGAAAAGAAGATAATTTTAATTATATAAACTAATTTGTATAATTAACTAATTAATCTTCATGTAGGGTATTGGTTGAGATAAAAAAGTCAGTGTCACGAGCGGGATTCGAACCTCGACCTTCGGCTAAATACACTGCTGCTCTACCATTTGAGCTACCATGACTTCAATCCACTCGGACACCAACTTCCCATCTCAACCCCACCTTATTTGAATTTTCCCTCCTTTTTGCCTTTTTCAAATGTCGTGTAATCAATTTAATTCTCGGTGACAAATGAAATGGCCACGGAGAACTTAATGAAGATATTCTTCATTTTACTTATTAAATCCATTGGAGTTCGTGGCCCGATTGACCAAATAACTTCTTTCAATTATCTTCATGTGAGGTATTGGTTGGGATAAAAAAGTCAGTGTAACGAGCGGGATTCGAACCCACGACCTTCGGCTAAATATGCCGCTGCTCTACCACTTGAATTATCGTGACTTCGATCCATTTATCTTAGAAGTCTCGGAAGTTGGTGTCCGAGTGGATAGAAGTCACGATAACTCAAGTGGTATAGCAGCGGCGTATTTAGCCGAAGGTCGTGGGTTCGAATCCCGCTCGTTACACTAACTTTTTTAGGTCAAGATGTATCAACTTCATTAATACATGAAGATTAATTAATTGAAAGAAGTTATTTGGTCAATCAGACCACGAACTCTAATGGAGTGTATAATTATTTTTTTTAATATAGTTCAATGATAAATAAATTTTTTCTTGTATGTTCATGAATTGTGTTCTGGCCTACCCTGAGATCTTTATTTGCCAATGCAGGAGTCTATTTCGTGGAGTACAGATTGTTGATATTAAAAATAAACAAATAAATTGGAAGTCAAAAATTTCCACTAAATAAATCGTGCTGAATGAATTAGAAAAATTAAGAAAAAAATATCCTTTTTTTTGTAAGACGACTCTTGGGTCTGCAGGGTGATGCACCAGTAGTTCTGATAAATGTTTGTTTTTCCTATCTTCGATGTTTTGGCCTGATTGAAATGAATGATTTGAATTGAATGATTAGAAACGACAAGACTCCTAAAATATTTCAAGCAACTATTTGAAAACTATTGTTGAAACATCGAGTTAAGTCATAGCACCAATTTATTTATAATTAGTAGATAGCAATCAATATCTCTTTGGGCAATAAAATTATCCAAATTATTTTAATTGGTACTTACAGCTTCCGAATTTCAGTGGGCATCTCTGGGTGTCCATCGGAAAGTTTTCTAGGTTCATTGGGCAGCCAGCTTTTATTGTCAATCTGCAACAATGTTTTGGGCCAATCAGAGTACTTAAATTTTGTACGCTAGGTTAAAATTGGGTATAATTTATACAATTGTAGGGTTTACAGATTTTAAAATTGTCATAAAATTTTCTTAGCTGGCTTCAATATGGCGTAGAGAGACATTTTTTTGTCTTTCGATTTCAAGAACATATCGATTCGCGTCCCCGGGAGCAGGGGACAGAACGGCTCAACGTTTACATTTAAATGTTCGTGACCCCGTATTCCGCGGAAGGATAAACGGTCCCTAATCCCCGGAGTGCGGATGGTCCTGAAATACACGCTTTCAGAGGTCTGGTTAGGAGTCGTATCGAATTTTGCATTTTTAAGTTTTCGCGGGTTTCGCCGAGACTCGCAGAAAACCGGTTGCGGGACTCGACGGTGAAAAGCAGAGGAGGGATCGTTAATTATCTGACAGATTCAATCTTCGAAGTTGTTAAGCCCTCCTCATTTACTGCTGATGTTGTCCCATGTCGCCCCTTTGCCCGTTACTAACACTGTCTGTCGTAAACCTTACTCAATTCCATTTTTTACGACACTAAAATATATTCTCCTGATTAAACTGTGATATCCTGTTGACGGTTAAAACACATAACTGTTATTCTTGGTCATTATAGTTTGCGTATTCTCCTATTTGAAAACATATATGACCACAAAAGTCAAGTTTTCTTCTATAATTGAGAATTTAAGTTATTAGAGAAGTTAACGTTATTGAAGAAGTTAACTTACAAGCTTTTTCTCCAGGATAAGCAAAAGCCCTCAATATGTTGAAGCTAAGATTCGGAGAGAGAATGAATGAACGAATGAACGATTTATTTATTGATCACGCAAGATTTGACTCCAGGACTACTATTACATCCACTGAATTACATATTTGCAATAAAATAAGTTATCTACTTTATACACTTTCGCACATTATTTTAAACTCTATATAACTTGAACTTAACAAAGAAGAATAAACAAAATAGTACGTTTACAATACTATAAATAAAAAAAAGAGAAAATTAATAAAATACAAACGAAATACAACTGTAAAGGGAAATTTGTAAAACCTGGTAGAGCGTAACAGACAGAAAGACAGAAACATTATATGAAAGTGTGTGGGAGAGAATGAGAGAGAGAGTTAGAAATAGAGAGATAAAGATAGATAGAGAGAGAGAGAGAGGTAGATAGAGAGATAGATAAAGATATAGATAGATAGGTAGATAGATAGATAGATAGAGAGAGATAAAGAGAGAGAGAGTGAGAGAAAGAGAGATAGATGTATAGAAAGAGAAAAAGCTAGATAGATAGAGAGAGAGAGAGATAGATAAAGAAATAGATAGATAGGTAGATATACATATATATATANAGAGAGAGAGCGTGAGAGAAAAGAGAGAGAAAAAGAGAGAGTGGGAGGGAGAGAAGGATGAAAAGAGAGAGAAGTATATAAATTTATAAACAAATAAGAGATAATCATTTTTAACTTCCTTTCAAATCGAATTTATTCAGAAGTGAGAATTATTGAAGAGTTCCTTTAAAAATTTATATTTATTAAAACTTTATTTTTTTCCTCAAACCAACAAAAACGTTCACTGACACTATAAAGCACTTTTTGTTTTCAAATTAAATCATTTTTTTTGTATTGACCTAATGGATTTCCTGCGGTTTTCTAACCCTTTTAGGCCGACGCGCAGCTAAAACGGGTTGACAGATCTTGGAGTGGTGACAACTGGTTAGTACTTATTTTGTCGCACAACTTTACATTCGAACTGCTTCAATAATTGCAATATAATTGGTAGGCTCATATCGGAAAATTAATTCCAAAGAAGGTTTATAATAATTCAGGGAAATCTTTGGAAAGGTGATTATTATTATTTATGGTTATTTTCGACGTTGAAATGAACCTTTTGACTGGATGCTGAAAGAATGAGTTCATTACAATTCTTTATTTGCGCGATTTGATTTACGTTTCAAAGATTTTGTTTCCGTACAATCTTTTATTTAATCTTATCAACATTAAAAACCTAAACAATAATGAATAATGATAATGCTATAATAATGATGTACTAAAGTGGTCCGATTTTGTCCATGGGAAACAAATTGGGTGTAGTTAGCTCTTTTCGTCCAGAATAATTGAAATCTTCGACACAAAGAATATTATTTTCTTTCACTTAATGGTCAGACAATTCGTTATTAAGTATATTCAACATAAAAATAGCTAATCCGATACATATCATACATATTAACCTAGAATTTACGTTATTATCTTACGCAAAACCTATCTACTCCATCTTTTAGAAACCAATTTGGTCAAAATCTTGGAATTTAAGAAGAATAAATTCATTTCCTTAATTTCTCCTACCTGAAAAAACCGATAAAATTTATTTATAAAACTAAAGCTAAAATGAATAATTACCTGGATGAATAGAGCACCCTTCCGTCTTGAAAGAGCCTCACAAATTTGTTTGGTGATGTTATAGTGTGGAGGTAGCTTTGTTTCCCGTTGTAAAAATATGTGTCTGGCTTCCATATTCTCTTCAGCATGGTAATGCTCAAAGCGAGAGTGTCCTTGTGCCCTGAATAGGCCAGCCTAGTGTCGACCCAGGTCTGCCTGAAGTAGCAGTCCATCGAGTAAGTCTGAAAAAAATGTCCAAAAGCAGCTGAGTTTAAATAAACTATTGATCTATGAAGTAAAAGGAAAGAAAAGCCGGTTTGACTATGTTGAAACATTTCGACTTCATGAGGCCGATGGGTGCCATCTTATCGATTACGAGATTCCCACCTTTCTACTACAGTAACAGAATGATCAGCGTTTATAATTTTTACTTAATAAAAAAATAATTTTTATTTGACCAGAAGAGAGTAAATCAATGTCGAAATTGGGGGTGTTATTTGAATGGCGTTCGCTTTAATATTCCTATAGGTAAAAAAAACTATGTACATTATCGCTTCAAAATAATGCTCATTTATGAGAATAAAAATAAGATAATATATTTTAAGGATGTGTATTATGTTGAAGAGGATCAGGTTTATGGTCTTGAATAAAGTTACAAATTTATGCCAACACTACATATACGACATATAGTCGCATCATCAGGGCGGATTCTTGACCAAAGCGTTGCTCGATGTTTTGATAAAATACCATGATATGATACCAGATGATGAATGTTACGGAGAGGATCAATAATTTTTTTTCAAGATCAGGAATATAGTCTTGAATGAAGTTACAAATTTATGCCAACAATTCGCCCAGCTTTCGCCATATATAGTCCCATCATGATTTTGTTGTACAGTGTGTTACAGTATGTTAAATAGGGTTTTCTAATAAAGCTAAATGTTTACAGAGTATGACTTGTGCAAGTCTATCTAAATAACTGTATAATTAAGTTCATTTTAAAGTACCTCTCTCTCTAGCTCTGCATATCTCTCACTCCATTTATCTCTCTCTCTCACACCCCCTCTATATCTCTCTCCCTCTCTCATACACTACGATTTATTTAAAATTTGCTCTCTCACTGTCATTCTCTTTCAATCTTTCTCTTTCTCTATCTTTCTGCCTTGCACTCTTTTTATACCTGTATTTCTTTCTCTCTCTCTCTCTCTCTCTCTCTCTCTCTCTCTCTCTCTCTTTCAATGACTATCTCTACCTTTTTCATACTGTCTTTTTATCTATCTATTTTTCTCTCACTCTCTCTGTCTGTTCTTCTGTCTCTTCCGCTCTGCTCAACGCTGTCTTCTCTCTCACACACTATCTTCACTCTATGCTATCGGCTTTATTGTTTATCCTATATGTAAATAGAATATATTAAGAAAGTACTAACTGCCTCTACGCTGATGTCCTGGATTTAGATGCATAATCATAATTATGAAATAAAAATGAAAGAATATTAAAATTGCATAGCGACATAAAAACTAAAACAATAAATTAATAAAAATGGAGCGATCATTATGGTTTATCAATTATTATTTAAAAAAATGTAATGCTATTTTATTACGACATCACAAACAGTATGAAAATTTAAAGAAATATAATATCGTAGAAATCAAAATTGATGATAATATATTAATTTTAAACACAAATTGATAAAGCTTGTAGCAGAATACATTCCATTGTATATCATTAAAAAAACAACTATTTAATGTTAATAATTCATCCATAAAACTAAAGCTTTTTAATCTATCTAGTAAACATCTTCACAAGTTACATATTACTATAAATGTGTATTCGATACACCTGTAATCTAAACTATTATGCTAAAATTTATGACAAATTCTATATTCTATTCATTGTAAAAATTGATGATTTGTTAAAATACACAATTTTGACTATTTTTCATGACAAAATCACAATACAAGAACCATTATATCTATTTGATATTGTTTCTCATTTTAAAGTAAAAAAACAAAACTACTTTTACTCGTTCTCAAACTGCATTTAAAATGTCATTGTGTCGTACACACTGTTTTTATAATTCATTCTGTCCTAAATCTATAAAACTGTAAACAATTTACCCAATGTGTAGAGATNAAAAGGATTAATCAATTGAAAGAAGTAATTTGGTCAATAGACCACTGTATATGATTTTAAAATAATGTTTGATAAGTACAAAACAAATTCAGAAATAAATCATCGACTTACTCAGCATCTATGAAATCAAATATTTTACTTTCCGTGATCTTATATAATGTCTAAACCCAAATAGTTTTTTTGTATTTATCGCAATGGTATTATTATATTTCGCCGGTGCTCGTTTGATTGTGCGTGCGAGTTGAACTTATTGGGAACAGTTGGTTCATGACAGGTCGACTTATTTTCATTATTAGCCTTTCGTTGTAATATTTAATTATATTATAATCCCGATTTGTTATATTACTTCGTTAATTTCTTATATTGCTTAATAAAGTAAAAATCTTTTGAAGCTTGTAATATAAGGAAGTGAGCGAGTGTACTATGGCCATCGGTCCATCTACTTTTGCCAGTTGTTCTTTTGTAATATCACACAGTGTGAATATAATAAAATTAAATTTTGTTTGATTAATTGAATATTTTGATTTTATCCTATAAGGAAAAAATAAGGAAGGTATGAATTACATAGTTTTCCATATAGTTATTGTCGTATTGTTGACTATTCAGCTAAGGCCTTAATGGTTTTGGGGCATATTATTACACAAGTTTTGAAAATATTTGGTGCATGCAAACAGCCTGAAGTTATAAATGAGGAACTTCGCCTGCGGCCGGACCTGCGTTGTGACAGTGACCGCAAGGGCCAAAGCAAACTCTGCTAGAATGAGCACGATGGGAGAACGAGGGGCGTCTGGCTAATTATTTTACCGTTCAATCTCCCAGCAGAAAATTCGATAAGCTATAATTGCCAATATCGGTTTATGTTTTTATGCCCATAGGGGGAATCAGAGCTACCACTCCTTTCTTTTCTTCATGACTCGAAGGAAAAATATTATTGTTTAATCCTACGCGATTCCTAATTGGTCGGATTTATTCTAATCGGTTTCCTTTTTCAACGATTTTCGGGAAAATTAAGATGGGAAATGACACTATGCATTTCAATGATGTCCATAGGTAAAAAGCATTAATTGGGTTGCTACCTGTTCTTTTCGCCTTCTTCAGTGTGCCTGCGTGATTTGTCGGGTCATTCTACAGATGCACTGAAGATGGAAAAGTGCCGAAATGAGTGGCTGATTAACTCATGAACTCATCGACTGTGGGCTAACCAAAATGAACGGTAAATATTGAAATATTATTGATATAATTTTGGATGTGTAGGAGTCTTGAATTTATTTGAGCTCGCCTTTTCTTGCCACATCCAACGTGATTTTGATTTTTAAAAAACGTTTTGGATTAAAGGTAATTTTACTGGAGTGAATTCATTTTTTTACTAGTTGAACTCCTTGATTTTAGCTGTTATTAGCTATTATTTAGCTGTTCCTAGATCAATGGGAGAGGTGAATAAGATGTGATCCCAGGTTAGAGGACTTGAATGTCTGAATGACTTGAGGAATGATGCGCAGCTGCATATTTCATTGTTTATTATGTGTGGTGATTAGTGACCGTTAGTCGTGATTATTCGGAAATCAAGAGAATGTATCGGTTAATTTAATTAAAATTAATAGAATAAGAATAAATTACAAATATCCCTATTCATTTTTGAGCAGTTTATAAAATAACACAGGTCTTGAACGGCCACGGAAAGATAAAATGTTGTCTTTATAAGTTTAATATAATAAACAATGATTATTCGGAAATCGAGATATGCGGTCTGGTGTGACGTAGCATTTAAGAAAACATTTTCTTTATCGTGCCAACGTTTCGATCTTTATTGAGATCATCTTCAGGGCCTGGGATTTACAAACATAGTTTACATTTAACAAATACATGTAGGATGTGTAAAAAAGTGAATTTATACAATGCAAAATTTGTTTTCCTTTTTAATTCAATCAATGTACTTCTACTCACTCAAAATGTTTGTTTTCTGCGTATTGATTGAATATTAAAAAAATAATATTTTTTGCATTGTATAAATTCACTTTTTTCCACATCCTACATGTATTTGTTAAATGTAAACAATGTTTGTAAATTCCAGGGCCTTAAGATGATCTCAATAAAGATCGAAACGTTGGCACGATAAAGAAAATGTTTTTCTGAAACCTACATCACACCAGACCACATATCTCGATTTCCGAATAATCATTGTTTATTATATTAAACTTATAAAGACAACATTTTATCTTTCCGTGGCCGTTCAAGATCTGTGTTATTTTATAAACTGCTCAAAAATGAATAGGGATATTTATAATTTATTCTTATTCTATTAATTTTAATTAAATTAACCGATACATTCTCGTTAATTGGATGAAACAAAATAGACACAAATCAGAAACAAACAAATGTTAATCCTCATTCTTAATAACAGAATTACTTAAGAATAGTAAATATGAAGATGACTCATTTTGTAAACACCTTTTCTCCATTTTGATCAGTTGTATTCTCTTTAACCATGGATAGACATCATCTTGTACCAGAAGTTCTCAATATTGTTGTGAGAATGAGTCATTGAGGTCACCGGCAAGTGGATACCGCAGGCTGTTTCTCAGAGCGTGGTCTTCAGGGATACCCGATTCCGAGAGACTGGAAGGACCAATAGGAGGCCTGGTAATGGATCTCAGCGCATTACGACGCTAAGGGAGAACAGAAATATTGTCATTGCTGCAAAACGGAACCCTTTCCATAGTGCCGGCTAGATTCTAAATGAAATACAAGATGTTTTGGCAAGACTTTTATCAACACAAACCCGACTCTTTACCTTGTCCCATAAGTGTTCTATGCTTTACTGATGAATCGCGTTTCTGTCTATAATGATAGCAGGTGCCAAAGAGTCTACCGAGAACAGCGGACACGTCCAATGCTTCAGTTCTTGCTCCCTTCAATGCAGTTTGGAGAAGGCGGTGTAAAGGTCTTGGATGGGATTTACACTGGAGGACAAACTCGACTCCATATGGTTTAAGGCAACCTCAACGCAGACCGTTATGCCCAAAAAATTATCGAAAAATACATCCCTCAAACAAGGGATCTCATTGGCAGAGGTTTTCAATTTCTGGATAACAATGTTAGACCTCATAAT